CATTGAAGACTGCCCCAAATCACTACTAGTTCTATATTTGGATAATATGCTGAAAAATATACATTCCATCTTGGTAATAAAACTTCAAGAGTTAATTCGGAATGGAACCAAGTTGGCCTTGGAACACCTTGTGACAACCATTGCCTCAGTTGCAGATACAATAGAAGAAAAATTTGTTCCATATTATGATACATTTATGCCCTCACTGAAGCATATTGTTGAGCTTGCTGTTCAGAAGGAACTCAAGCTTTTGAGAGGAAAAACCATTGAGTGCATTAGTCACATTGGTCTTGCTGTTGGGAAAGAAAAATTTATGCAAGATACATCAAATGTGATGCAGCTGTTGTTGAAGACACAATCAGATTTAAATAGTATGGAAGATGATGACCCACAGACCTCTTACATGGTTTCAGCATGGGCTAGGATGTGTAAAATTCTTGGAAAAGATTTTCAACAGTACCTTCCACTGGTTGTTGAGCCTCTTATTAAGACTGCTTCAGCTAAACCTGATGTTGCTCTCTTAGATACTCAAGATGTGGAGAATATGAGTGATGATGATGGCTGGCAATTTGTAAATCTTGGGGACCAGCAAAGTTTTGGGATTAAAACTTCAGGACTTGAAGCAAAAGCAACTGCTTGCCAGATGTTAGTTTACTATGCTAAGGAGTTAAGAGAAGGATTTGTAGAATACACAGAACAAGTTGTGAAGCTGATGGTTCCTTTACTGAAATTTTATTTCCATGACAATGTTCGAGTGGCAGCTGCTGAAGCCATGCCTTTTCTCCTAGAATGTGCAAGAATTCGTGGCCCAGAGTATCTTTCACAGATGTGGCAATTTATATGTGATCCTTTAATCAAGGCTATTGGGACTGAACCTGATACAGATGTACTCTCAGAAATAATGAATTCTTTTGCAAAGTCCATTGAGGTAATGGGAGATGGTTGTCTTAATGATGAACACTTGGAAGAATTGGGAGGCATTTTGAAAGCAAAACTTGAAGGACACTTTAAAAACCAAGAGTTACGACAAGTTAAAAGACAAGAAGAAAACTATGACCAACAGATCGAGATGTCTCTGCAAGATGAAGATGAATGTGATGTTTATATTCTGACCAAAGTATCAGATATTTTGCACTCATTATTTAGTACTTACAAAGAAAAGATTTTACCATGGTTTGAACAGCTACTTCCGTTAATTGTAAATCTAATATGTTCAAGTAGGCCATGGCCAGATAGACAGTGGGGATTGTGCATATTCGATGATATCATAGAGCACTGTAGTCCAACCTCATTTAAGTATGTTGAGTATTTTCGGTGGCCAATGCTACTAAATATGCGAGATAACAACCCTGAAGTTAGGCAAGCTGCTGCTTACGGCCTGGGTGTTATGGCACAATTTGGTGGCGATGATTATCGTTCTTTATGTTCAGAAGCTGTTCCACTGCTGGTTAAAGTTATTAAGTGTGCAAATTCCAAAACCAAAAAAAATGTCATTGCTACAGAGAACTGTATCTCAGCAATAGGGAAGATTTTGAAGTTTAAGCCTAACTGTGTAAATGTAGATGAAGTTCTTCCACACTGGTTATCATGGCTTCCACTGCATGAAGATAAAGAGGAAGCTGTTCAGACTTTGAGTTTCCTCTGTGACTTAATTGAGAGTAACCACCCAGTTGTAATTGGTCCAAATAATTCTAATCTTCCCAAAATAATCAGTATAATTGCAGAAGGAAAAATCAATGAGACTATTAACTATGAAAATCCTTGTGCCAAACGCCTAGCTAATGTTGTTCGTCAAGTACAGACTTCTGAAGAATTATGGTTGGAATGCATATCCCACCTTGATGATGAACAACAGGAAGCCTTACAGGAGTTACTAAATTTTGCTTGAAGCACTTTAATATCACTTGAATATCATCTACCATAAAAGTAATACAAATAAATGTGAGTGAATTCTATTACAAATGAGAGAACTGTTTTCTCCCTGCTAAGCAACCATATTTCCTTCCCATGTTTCTCAAGGGTTAGTCAGTGTCACAGCTTTTTGTTTACCTTGCATGTTTTATCTCTGAAACATAGACATGGTGATAACCTGTGCTTCCAGTTGTCTTAGAATGTTTGTCACCTTTCCCCTATTTGGTGTGAAGTATATAAATTGTTGCTATTTGTCTGAATTATTGATGCTGGACAAACAGTAAACTTGGTGCCAGGATGTCATGCTGCCTGTCAAAAGATCCTAAGGTAAGACAGGAGAACTTCTAGGACAAACATCTTTGGAATTGAGGGTGAAGGGTACAGTGACAGGCTTATTATTCCTTGATAATACTCCTGGTTTTTATGATAGTGGGAGGATGCCAAACTGAGAGTTGCAAGATATTGCAGTGGGAGTTTTCTCTATAATGTATATGAACTTTTAAATTACTTTGGAGAACTAGTTGGGACCTATCCAAATTTAGTTCCCAAGGTGTCCAGCTGAGAAGAGAATTTTTAAATCTCTTTAACCAAACTGGTTATCTAGAACTCCAAGAATCACGGTTAATGAAAAAAGTACTGTGCTTCTAACATTGGTAATATTTAACAAACTATAACACAGTGTTTAACAAATAGTTAGTAATAGTGTTTGTGGGAGTCAGCATATGTGTTCAGCAGAGTATTGCTTTGTGTATGTATGCCATTTTCCCCCTGCCAAGCAGCTCAACAAGAAGAGAAGCCCTGATTCAGAAAGGGACCTAAGAAATTTCTATTTTGAAGAAGTTCCTAACAGATAACTGCAGTAGCTCTGAGGGGTATTCTAAAATGAAAGAGAAATAAACTTAATTTTATCTTTAAACATTAAAAAGACAATAGCTTTAAGACTAGTCATTTATCAGTATAAGAAAACAACTCTATAATCTAAGATTAATTGTAATGTCAGTCTTTAATGTTGAGCTTTTTGTAGGGTAGAAAAAAGCCTCAATATATCATCCATCTAAAACTTAAAGACAAATATATTTATCATGATTCCCTGGGACTATTGTGAGTACTGTATGTGTAAAATATTTGGCAAATATTTAAGACCTAGTAAGTGCTCAATAAATCGTCACTGTTACTGTTGTTGTTGTTTGTCCCTCCACTGTGTTCTTAATAGTTTGGAATTCCTTTTACAAGTGGAATTTTCAGATGGGCAGGCCATATAGATAGGTATTAGATATGCAATTCCTGTCCTATACAGTTGCTTATTAATGGGAAGAAAGAAAGTTAAGAATGTTACATACAGTATGGTCACAATTTTTAAAATTATTTAAAACTCTACCTCGAAGGACGTGTTTCATAATAGCTAAGATCTTGGCCTTTTCGTGAATGAGAGTTGAGTCCCTTTTAGTCACCCACACTTGTTTTTTATATACCTTAAGAAACCCTTGATCAACATTGCTAGCAATTCATACACTCTTGTGTGTGAGGAATTAGAAATCCTGTCAGACGACTTGGAATTAGGCACCTAAAGTTTTGAAGTATGACAGACATAGGTTTTAATTTTGGTGAACTTCTTGTTTCCCCGTCTATAAATGAGGATAACCTAGCTTATAGGATTGTCGTGAGAATTAAGGAACATAATATAAAGTGCCTAGTGGCATAGGATTCAATAAATGAAAGCTATTATCAGGGGGTCATAAATAGAGCTGGTGGTCAAAAGGGAGGAGAGGATATTTGCTTGAATGGTAGGCTCCAGATTCTTGGGCTTTGTCAAAGGAAATGAGTGATGTCCTGTCAGACATGTCTGGTCCCTGCCCTTTTTAACCTCCTGAGTTGAGGTATGTCTGCAGCCTCTGAGGAGCCAACCCTATAGATATCTAATATAGATATTTGACATAGAGAAGACCTTGAAGATCAGATAAGTGTGTTTTTGTGTGTGTGTAGGAGAGTGTAAGTACACTAAAAACTCTGAAGTATTCTAATTTCACTATTTTACCTACAAGTGGTATTTAACTTACTGGACAAACAAACTGAAAAACTTTGAGGTATTGAATTTTCTCAGCCCTTTAAAGGTGGTATTAGTGACAAGTAAGCAATCTTAACAGTCAGAATATCTCAACAATTTTGCTATACATTTTACATTTAAAATGAATAATTTCTATAGTTTTTGTATTTAATTCCAAGTTTCAAGCAAGAGGGCCTGTGTAAGGTCAAAACGTAGTATGTGTGCATTCAACTAGAACATGAGAAAATAATATCTGCTTTACGGAATTATTAATCCCCCCCTCCATATTTTTAAAAACATGTAAGTTAAGTTCACTTCTTGGTCATTTAAAAATAATTTTAAAATGTGTAGTGAGATTGTAAAGCTACAGCAGTAACTAATGCTGTTCAGCTCAGACTTGGAATATTTGGAGACTTTTTTGGTAAGGTTCCATTCTCTCTATTTATTCTTATCAGAACTCAAAAATGTAGAAGTACGGAAATTTTTTTTTTAAATTTCCACAGGAAAAAAATTAGTTTCCAAACATGAATTGATGTTAAGAATTGGGAGAAGTTTCTTAAACTAGCTCTACAAATTACCTTTTTCTTTTGCATGTGAACCTTTCTAAACTTTCCAAAATGCTAATTTAAAAAAAAAAAAGGCAGTCGCAAAGGAGGGGGTGCAAAAAGGATGTGAATTTTTACAATGGAGGGCATTTACATGTTGTGCTTTCTTACTATTTGCCATTAACAAAGGTTATCCAGAAATTTCCTTTAGGATAAATTACTGCTTTGAGAGAAACAAGGGTCTCACGGAAGGAGTATCCTCCCGTGCCACTTGCTCTTTTTAAAAAATTATTCATTTATTCATATGTGCATACATTGTTTGGGCCATCTCGCTCCTCTCCCCGCGCCTCCCTCACCCCCCCTCTCTTCCAGGCAGAACCTGTTCTGCCCTCTTCAATTTTGTGGAAGAGAAAACATAAGAGATAATAAGACATAGCATTTTTGTTAGCTTGAGAGAAAGATAGCTATACAAAGAGATACCTAGCATTGCTACCACGCACATGTGTATTACAACCCCAATTGGTTCCTGTCTGGCTCCTGCCACTCGCTCTTTAAAGCCACTGGGCGCCATCCTGGGAGAGGCTCCCAGACGCATGCGCTCTGCTTTCCCCTCCACCCCGCCCCTTATAGTCGTCTGCGCACTAATGACATCATTGGTCGGCGCTGCACACCCGGGCCTCCCGATGGGTGGCGAAGCCCAAGTCCTGGATTTCGCGTAGCTGGGCGGGACACGAGGGGGGCGGGGGGACATTTTATTCTACCACGCACGCGCAACAGGGATGGCGACGATGCCTCTTTCTTTGCCTCTTTCCACAGCTCTCCCCAGCCGGGGAAACTGAGTGCCCTCCCCTCCTCCCCTTCCCCACCCTCCCCCCCTCCCCCGCCCAGCGGGGCTTCTAACTGACAGTTGTCGCCGGGCCCCGTCAGTGCGCTGCCTCCTCCTGCCCGGGTCCCCTGCAGGTAGAGAGGGGCGGGAGGGGGTGTGAGGGAGAGGAGGAGTCGGAGCCGCCGCGGCCCAGTGCTGCGGCCCACTCCGGGGAGGAGGGAGAAGAGCACCCCCTCGTACTCCTGCCCCCTCCCAGCCCCCTGCCGGCCCGGGAGGGGGTGGGGCGCCGAGGTCGCTGCAGCCCCGCCGGGCCTGGACGGTGAAGAACGAGCGGGCGGGGCGCGGTGGGTGAAGCCGGCGAGGGCCGCGCGGGTGCTGCCGGGGGAGGGGAGAGGAGGGCACCTAGGCTCTCCTCTCCCCCCTCCCCCCGCGCCATGTAACCCCGCCCGCCGGCGGCGAGCTCGAGACCCCCGCGCGCACCGATCCGAGCCGGCATCTGAGGAGCGTGAGGCCCGATGCGGCAGGGGCTGCGCGGCGCGGCCGAGCCGTGAGGAAGCGGCCCGCGCTCACACGTCCTTCGACACTTGGAGCCGCCGGCTCCGGGCCGCCCAGCCTGGGCCTGCCGCGGGGCATGAGCGTGCCCGAGACGCCGGGGGAGATGGAGCCGGCCGGGGAGGAGGAGCGGCCGCCACCTGCGGCCGAGGAAGAGAACCAGGAGGAGATAGCAGCGGCGGCGGTGGCGCCGGCCCGCAGGAGTGCCTCCTCGCTGGAGGACGCGGACGGCCCAGAGGAGGAGGCGGCGGAGACCATGGTGGTCGCGGAAGGTGGCTGCAAGGAGCAGGAGCTGACCTACGAGCTGCAGCAGGGCTACCGCATCCTAGGCGAGTTCCTGCAGGAGAAGCACAGGGGCCTCACTGCCCCCTTCCTGCAGCCCTTGGGGGGCGTTGCCGCCGGGGAGGAGGAGGTGGCCGAGGGGCCGCGCAGTGGGGGCCGGGGCAGTCGCGCCCTCCCGCCGCCGCCGCCGGGCCAGGGCCTGAGTCTGCTGAAGATGGAGGAGAAGTTCGCCAGCGGCCAGTACCGGGGCATCACGGAGTTTGTGGCGGACTTCAGGTTGATGCTGGAGACGTGCTACCGCCTGCATGGAGTGGACCACTGGATGTCCAGACAGGGCCAGAAGCTGGAGATGTTGCTGGAGCAGAAGTTGGCGCTTCTCTCCCGGTAAGCGAGCCGCGGCGCGGGTGGGACTGACAGACCGACACAAACACACCCTCGCACGTGTCCGAGGATGGGCTGGGCCAGGGGCCGGGGGGCGGCGCTGATAGGTGCCGAGTCGGTGCCGGAGAACCCCGGAGGAGGAGCAGCGCGGGGCGCGGGCGGGGAGGGGCGCTGGAAGCCGACGCCCCGAAGGATGCCGGGCGTCCGCCCGCCGAAAGCTTGGCGGCCGCCGGGCGGGGCGGTGGACGCCGCGTGGAGTGGCTCCCGTAAGGAGGATCTCACGTGTAGGCAGAGGGGAAGCTCGCGAGGGATGGACACTCGACATGCGCTGGGGACGAAATCTCTTTTTTCAATAATCTTAGCCTATGGAGAAAGGTGGCTGATTCAAATCACTACGATTTTTAGCTTTTACTACCCATTTCAGCCAATCGGAGATTTATTTATGGTTTTATTAAATGGTTAATGATCACGCTGGCTTATCCCTGATCTTTCCTTTTATTTGAGGAAACTGAATTTTTGCAATAAGAGAAAATAAACACAGGAGTTTACTAAAACGCATTTTTTATAAGTACTGTCTAGTTGATATAAGCCAAATTTAATTTCTTCAGGAATAGAAAGTTGATTGAATGTTGTTAGAAATGATAGTTGAGGTGGAATAGGAGTTTGACTGTAAAACGGGCTAATAGTCTACATACCTAGTAAAGTTGCTGTTTGGGTTAAGTGGGTTAGAAAACCAGCAATATTGGTTACATATCCCCATGTGTTAGCCTTAGTGTTAGTAGTGGAATAAAACGAGGTATACCTCGTATGTGAACCTGGGCATTGTACTTGTTATTTTACGGAATAGTTCCTTTTAAAAATGTGTTATTTCCTTTGTCCTTGATTTGTCGTTTTAGTTTTAAAATAATCGAATCTCTGTCACTGGTGCTATTAATCAGTGGTTTATTTCACTGAAAAATTAACATATTTCTTAATTCACTAGGGAAGTTCTCCTTAAACCAGGGAACCACTTGTATCCTTTCATGACGTAGAATTATTAGGTAATAGAATAACTATTAACACATTAGCTTTCTAAATTACCTTTAGTACGATAGTGATTTGATAATTTTGTACTGTTTATTACTGTTGTCCTCTTAGTACTTTATGGCTATGATTCATAAGAACAATACATTCACGTGTCACTATTTTTAAGTAGTAAAATATACCCCAAATTGGTGTCACAAGATTTTAAACCCAGAAGAAACTGAAGAGTTCTAGGCCACCTACTAGTCCACCTGGTTTTACAGATGTGGAAATATCTGTAGAGAGACAAGAGAATAGCTTGAAAGTGCTAAGAAGTAGCATTATAGGTTTCACTGAACTGTAGATGTTTACAAAAGGGTGGAGAGACTGTTTCTCTTTTACATAAAGGTATTTTTATCCCCTACTGGGGATTGAATCCAGGCCTCAAGCATGCTAGACAAGCAAGCTGTACCACTTGAGCCACACACACCCCTACAGTGACTAATGCTCAGAAACATATTTCTATGTGATCTGATAGTATGTATACTTAGAAATTAAACTTACAACATTGCATAATTACTAAATATAATAGTGTATCTCTGATATCCTTAGATCAAGAGATAAAAATTCTTGCATTTTGGTAGTAAAAAGTAACATGATGATCTCAAATAGATGTGTTGAGTCTCACTTTTTTTTTAAACTTGTATTTGATGTATGCACACACTTTGTAAAGGATAGGTTTGCTTGGAGATTCTAGGAAATCTTTTTTTTTTTCTGTAATAGTCTAAAGTCTAAGTCATAACTAAGTAATTGCTCTGAGTGGGCACAACTTTGAAAAACACATAAATTGTAGATGTTTGGGGTACAATTTAGATATATAGATGTTCCGGAACAATATTCTATAGACTGTTCACATGAATGTGGTTTTCAGCAAGTAGATGACTCAGACAGCTTATTTATAAATATCTTTAAAGTGGTATATGATGTTCTAGTAATACAGTCAGTATCTCTTAGATATTATCATTTTTATTTTGTCTTCTGGTGCATATTTGTAATACACTGAATTATTTTCAAATTGTAATGACAACTTTACAGGTGCTCTATATACTACTAAGTCTTCTAGTGAGCAGTAATCAGTGAGGTACTTTTGAAGAGGATGCTGCATTATCATTAGAGAGCAGCTAAGTGGCACTCTGGACACATTATGTAACTTGAGTCAGTTTCTTCATCTGTACAGTGAGAGTGTTACGCTAGGTTAGTTGAGTGTATGTGTGGATATTTTTTAGGGGGAAGGGTACTGGGGTTTGAGCTCAGGGCCTTGTGTTTGCTAGGCAGGCACCCTACCACTTGAGCCATGCCTCCAGACCTTTTTGTTTGAAATGTCTCATGCTTGTCCCTGGGCTGGCTTGGATCACAGTCCTCCTATTTTCACTTCCCATGTAGCTAGGATGATAGGTGTGCATCACCATGGCCAGCTTTGATTGTACAAATATTTGTGTCTGCTAGAGCAGGACGTTCATGTGTTAGAGATCAGAAGTTCTTTGGCCTCAAGTGGTTTACAGTTGTAGGGAAGGAAATGCCTAAAAAGATAATGCTTTTATAATGGATATAATGAATAAGGTGATCTGAAGTAAAGGGGATGGAGCAAGCATGGGAATAGCAAGTGAGAGAAGGAAAGTAGAAGAGGAAAGTGAGTATTTAAAGCTTACAGTGAGTTTGTACTTGAACTGATTCTTTAGGAGTTGAATATTGTTATTGGATTTTTTAGGAGAGTTTGACAGGGGCATTCCAGACTGCTGAACTACAATGAGTGCAAAGCATGAAACAACATGGTGTTTCTGTAAACTACAAATAATTCTGTTATGTTTCAGTATGGTCTCCAGAGTCATGTCTGCACCCCAGAATTGCAAGATGATCCATGGGGTTGAGGGAAGAAACTATTAGAGCTTCAGTATGTTCTTTAGTTTATCCTTCTAAAATTTTTTTAGTTTGTTTTTTGTGATGTTTATACTAGTACTACATATATAAACATAAATTTATAAAAACTTATGTGTCATAAATAAATGTGTATATATATAAAAATATATACATATTTGTGATAGAACTAAGCTGTTCTTTCAGTTTGCAAAATCTGACTAATTGCTTGAATGAATAACATATTGAGCTACAAATGTGTTTAGTTTTCTGAAGTGGCACCATCCTTTGAAAGTCCCAACACAGTTTTTTCAAATTTTTAATATTAAAAATACAGTTTAGACTACCTACCCTATAGGTACTGTTTTCTTACTTAAGATAGTATCTCTAATGTCAATTTTATATTTTAGAAGGAATTTCATTCATCTTATCTTGTGGCAACTGAGAAACAACAATTAGCACATTAAAAATAGGGACACAGTCATCTAAGTGAAAAGGAATTGAAAATACTTAATGTATTAGGAAGTTATGCACAGATATTTAGAAAATGTCATGTTAAGAATTATTGCCTCTCTCAAAACTGGTTTTAAAAGCTTTTTGAATATATTCTCATGTAGCCAAAAGGTGAGGTTTTCCTAACTTTAAAAGGTGGTTGTTAATAAAATATGCTTCATCAGAGACACCAATAGAACTGAATTCAAATTTTTATTATGGGCCAGACTCAGCAGCAAATGTCTGTAATCTCAGTTACTCAGGAGGCAGAGACAAGATCACAGTTTAGGGCCAGTCCAGGCAAAAAGCTAGTAAGACCCCCGCCCCTCCCCAAACCTCAACAAATAAGCTGGGTATGGTGGTGCATATGTATAATCCCAGCCTTGTAATTCCAGTTGCAAGAGAGACATAGGTAGGAGGATCAGGGTTCCAGGCCAGCCCGGGCAAAAGAGAGACCCTATCCAAAAACCCAATGGCAAAAAAAGGACTGAAGGCATGACTCAGTTGACAGAGCTCTTTCCTAGCAAGCTTAAGGTCCTGAGTTCAAACCCCAAAATACTTTTGGCCATTTAAGATACTATTTTAAAGATATTTTAAGTATCCTTCTTAAAATTATTCTTGCGTTCACAATGAAGATGCTATTAAAATGGTGTGTGTATGGGCTAAAAAGCTTTCTTAAAACATAGTTGAAGGTTAATTTTAAAGCTGCTTTTTAGTTGACATATTTTTCTTGAGGATTAGAGTACAAAAGCATCCTTATGAAGCCTCAAAAATTTAAAAATAGAGGTGTCCTAGTACAAGTAGTAATAGAATCAAAATTAATTCTGTAGATTGATTTTAATCCTCTCCTAAGTTAAATTTGAATTTTTGTTGACTTGCTTATACTTATTGAAGATCAATGCCTAGAAATTAATTGGAAATTTTAATAAAAGATTTATTTCTCCTAAGTAGTCTAGCCCTTCCAACTGGGTTCTGTAATTCTCTTTTATATCAAACCTTAAAAATTGAGGACCTTGGGTCCAGCACAGTTACCAAAGCCTGTAATCCTAGCTAGTCTGGAGGTAGAGATCAGGTGGATCATGGCTCGAGACCACCATCCCAGGCAAAAAGTTTAGCAAACCCCTCTCAACCAATAAAAAATTGAGTGTGGTGGTGTGCACCTGTCATCCAAGCTATACAGGAGGTGTAAATAGGAGTATCCCAGTCTTATTTAAAAAATAACAAAAGCAAAAAGTGATGGGGCATGACTCAAGTGTTAGTGTCTTGCTAGCCACTGTCCAGCAAGCTAAAGGCTCTGAGTTCAAATCTCAGTCTCACCAAAAAAAATGGGGGACCTTGGGTAGTAGACTCTGAATTTGCTTCTTCAGAACTATAGAATATCAGAGGTTGATATTCTAATAATAATTGCTGTTCTTTTTATAAGTGTTTTTTAGAAAAGGTCCAAAAACCATTTTAAGGGTAGTGATGAAAATAGAGGAGTTCAACTAATAAGGCATTTATTGAGCCCTTGTTTTATTCTCCCCCCCAAAGGATTTAAAGGCTCATAGGAAAAAAAAACATGAACAGGTATGGTAAAAGGTAAAATTCATTAATGC